CTCATTGCTCACGGCTCATGGCTCATGAACATGGCTCATGGATAATGGATAATGGATAATGGATAATGGCGCTCAAGTTTTAGATAATAGGGCCAACACCAACGCCAGTGCCAGCGCGAGGTCCCGGTACCACAATGGTGTTATGCTATGGGGTGTATGCTATGGTGTATGATATGGTGTAGTGGAGGTATTGGTGTAGATACATTTGCAGATGTATTTGCAGATGTATAGTTGTATAGTTTAAAAATTAATAAATGGAACTAAAATGGGCCTTAAACATACAGCTGGAACGCGCTGCTGCGAGACCCGTTATCCTTGAACGCCTCGTTCCTGCTGGCTGAGACGATAGCATCAATAAGAAATTCCTCATCCAGCGGTGGCGGCGTGGAGCCCCCATACCACCAAAGGGATCCAAAGGGGGTCTAAGGAAGACCCATTTCCTAGGAAACCCCCCCCAAAGGGTCCAAGGGATGGTAGACAGACTAGTTGGTGTATGTATGTAGATCGCCACAATCGAAGGAGAAAAACAACGAAAACGCTAGTTTTGTCAAGCGAACGATAAACAACGATAGACGGACTCATCCACGACTCAGGAGTATTTTGTCTCGTCCGGTCCATAGCAACGAGAACTTGGCGCTCTACGAACGCCAGCGGAGCAAGAAAAAACGAGAAGAAAAAAAAACCTGATAAACAATTCGCATATTGAACACGCAGACGCAACGCACGAACGCACATAACACACAACACACACCACTCAATTCACACGAGGCTTGCCCTTGTACATCTAGACAGGTTGGGGCCGGTATTTTTCTTGGCTTGCAGAAGGTGGGATTCTTTTTGAGAACCGAATGCCATACCACTGACGAGATTGATGAGATGGTTCGAAATTTTTTGTGATCTGGGAAGGGATGGTAACAACGAGATCCCCCCCCATCCTGAAAAAGCGCTAGCCAGCCCATCAGATAGATCGGCGGTAGTGCGCACACAGCTGACACCGACTTTGGAAAAGACTCCGATGACGGTCTTTAATTAGCGTCCGGGGCACTGACTCTGCTTTTGCGTGGGTCCCTGGCTTGGAGGGAAGGGAGGGGCGTCCCCAAGCGAAGAATTTTGGAAAACAAAAAGGAAGCAGTAGAAGAGGCAAATGGAAGGGAAAGAAAAAATAAAAGTTCCAAGCGAGTGTAGGTACACTACATAAAATCCCGTTTCGACTCGTTTCGGCGTCAGGGTACATAATCCCTTAAAGACAAGGGGAAGGTGGGCTGGTGGGAAGGTGGGAAAGTGGGAAAGTGGCTCAGGGGGGTGTCGCCCTAACGTAGCGCGTGTATTACCTATGATATGGGTAAGCTATATGGGTAAGCTGCCCCGGTGGCCCGTCACCTACCTAACCTACTATGTAGTGTATGTAGGTACATAGGTAAGTACCTAAGATACCTTACCTCATACATACCAGTCAGTTTTTAGTTATCTCATCATACCTAGCCTAATGGCCCTTTTGGTCTTTTTAGTCCTTTCTGCAGACTGCAGAACTGCAGTTAAGGCTTTTTAAGGCTTGGGAGTTCCATTGATTTGGGACAGGTCTGGGACCAATCTAGCCTCCGTCCAGGCCTAATTGGATTCAGATCGAACTAATGGACCAATACTTTTCAAGGGATCGTAATAAATCGTAATAATATCCCTGCTTGTTCAATTGCATAACCTCGTAATCCAATATATGCATACCTTAGTGTTCCATGCTTGAACGCATCGATGCATTCGATGCGTCGATGTGGGTTTTAGGCATTACGTGTACCTGTTGTATTGTATCAATCAATCAATCAATCAATCAGTACATACGGCCGCCGCCCAGTATCATTCTGTATCTGTATCTGTATTTGATCCCGTCTTATGAGGGTGTCACTCCAAGTTTCCATTTCCATATCACCGCATCGACTGTCTCAACTAATTTTGCCGGACAGCCAAATCGACACGGCGACATGCATTGAACATTGGAAGAAATCATGATGGTGTATGGACGGGTGGTATGGTAGAAGATTTTGCCCAGCCATCAAACGTCGACTCTACTTGCAAATCACACCCTGTCATTTCTCGGATATGGATGAGGTGTCGTGTAGATAGGATCAGAGCAGGATCAGTACACTCTTCGTAACCATGAAAGAGTCTCCAACCGCCGTCTCTTGATTGCCTGCGGCCTATATGACTAGTCGTGGTGTGCTGCAGCATGCACCTGTCGGTGAGTAGTATGGTTCCCTCCAACGTCGAACCGAAGGAGAGAGGCAGGACGACTGGTGATAAATGGTCTGCTGGCATTTGGGCATATACCTACATTGCATTACATGCCGGGCACGATTCGGGTTATGTAGGTAGGTATGTAACAAGACATTGAGGATATTACTGCTACGGCGCAGTCGGAATCGGAAACCTTGGTCTTTTGGATGAGAAAGCTCAAAAGAGTGACCGTGAGATTGCCACGATTCTGACGGCGATCATGGTGTGGTGAAGTTCTCAAAAGCCGGGAAGGAATGTGTTAACTTCCGATTTAGCTAAACTAGCGGAAAGCGGGATACCTATGCCCAGCGGGATTCTGAAATGTTTAGATGTGTACTTGACGGACCTGGCGGTGTATGAAACGTCATCCTATAACTTGCCATGCGCCGTTCATGCTGATAGGCATATATTCCTTTCTACCTCTGCATTTTGCATTTGCATTTTGCATATGTAGAACTTAACATGCCGTGTGGATGGCCATGCGTTCGATATTAATTTCAGTACGGATGCTTTAGAGGAAGAAAAGAAAAGAAAGAAAAAAGTGAGGCGAGCTGCTTCTACGGGGCTGGAATTCGGCGGTCTACACTAAAAATGAGAGATAATACCTTATACATAGACTGCATATGGTACACGTTCTCGACGGGATGAAAGATATCCGTGCGTTCCTTTCTTCGGAGTATTTGCGGCGGATATACAATTCTATACATCATTTTTCACAATTACAAAGTATTCACCTAATTCAGCACCGGATCAAGAGGTACATGTAGAATGTAGCATTTGTTACTCCGTACCGAGGATGACGGGTTGGGGAGCCACATTGGAACGCAACAAGCCTACTAGCGTCGGTGCCATGCCGTTTACCTTTAGGACCTTAGGCTGCTTTGGTTAAGTACCTACCTAAACTTTGCATATTCCGTACATCTCGTAATAAACCGTCCCTGCCTACATACCTAGAACATCACCAAGAGAAATAGTTCCAAGAGAAATAGCTCCAAGTGAAAATAGCCGCTAGGTATAACACACTTACACCATCCATCCATCTAAGTATAGGTATCCATCAGTTGTAACCATCTAACCTAGGCTGCTACTCGTATCTAATCTATTAGCCCGACTAATGTCCACCGCGGACGGGCATCGCTATCCGGGAAGGCTAACGAACGCCGCATCCGCCTCGAATCTCTCTTTTTTTTCTTTCTCGGGGCTGTCATGACTCGAAGCAACTTAACCACATACGTAATCTAGCCTCACCCGTTCGTTGGCTAGCCGTACAGATTAGCGCGGCTACCGACCAATTTACCAACATAGGAAAGTCAACAGTTGTATTGCGTCGTTTCATTCGTTGAAACCCTTGGCTGTCAAGTTTCTGTTCCTGGCAAATGTAACATGTTTGCTACTCGTATCGTGTTACCGGCAACATCACCAGTTAGTTGCACGATACATAGATAGCATGAGTCTTGAAACGTTTACCCTCCGGTGATAGTGTATCAGCCGGGACTGCAGCTCGCCAGAAGACTTCTATAGTACACGTAGAATTCCGTAAAAATCTACCCTAACCCATTCTCGCTCTAAAACTTAGTGCTTGATTTATTTTTACTTTTTTACTTTTTTTCACTTTTATTGCCGTTCGGCTGATGACGACGAATGTTCTAGAGTTCAGCTTTGCGCGAGTCATATAACACAACTAATAATTACCGGAGCGATCCTATTTTAATGTTCGGCTTTCCCGACTTCGCCGACCACATATTTCTAGCGTGTAGGGCGCATCCGGAATGTCTAACCTTAGTATGAAGTTCGATTCGACACATCGTAAATCTAACGAACGAACGGAACGGGCGCGGGTGAGATGGCACAGAGCCCTGCTGCCTCCCGAGAACGATAAGGCGCTGTCGTAAAACGACGCCTTCGGGAATGTGCTTATTTGCTCTTTTGACCAGGGAGTTGAGTCTCCGCATCATCGACGGACCATCTGCAAACCCAATGAAGATCTCCATCTATGTATCAATGCCTCTAAATGTAGCGGTTTCTTAGCCCTGGTCATGACGTCAAGAATTCCAAATTACTTGTATAGTAATAACATAACATCGCGCTTCTCCCTTTCTTTAAGTATAATTGTCTTACACCTGGACACCTGGACATCTGGATAGTACAATTGTATACCTACCCGAACTGACTGCATAGTACTTCAAACTATCGAGAAGCTACGGCAATGTTTCTGAGTCTATCATATCCATACGCATGAAAACCCAATTTCTTTCGCAATTGACCGTGACTCAGCGTAACGTCCTCCTACCAATATATTAAGGCCGTGCAACACCTTGGGTCTAATATACGCATGCAAGTCATCCCCCAACAAAGCCGTAGAGGGACCGAAGGATCGAGCACGAACCTGTGTTCGCATTTATTAATTATGCATCAGTCTCTGCCAGGTTCTCGGGAATAGGGGACTCACGTTGGGGGAGTAGGGCGATCCCCATAAGATGCTAGAACTATAATCTTACATGCAGGTAATATAAGGCTGAGGGTGTAGGGAGTGATATTGTCAGCGCATTTACATAGTCCTAGATCAGCCTCGGTCAAGGCGTGGGATGCAGCTAAATATTCTCCTGCTTAAGTGTGAGAAGAGCATAGGTTCAGGATAGGATTAGCTATAGTCCTGCGGCAATATATACGGGCATTTGTGACTAATGTAATTACAGTACCACACCCCTTACTTAAATTGAAGTATAACATTTTGTGATATGGAATATAGGAACACCTATCAAGAACTCGCCATCTGTCAGCAAAGTTGCCATTCAAATAATGAGACATCTTCGCCGAAAACATCATTGCCGTTTAGCCGTTGAGACTATTATAACTACGGTGTAGACATTGCCAACAGGCCACCAATCAATTCCAGGAAATAGCCGTAGTACTGCCGCCAGCTTTATTGAGGTTCATCATATTCGTAATTCACTCGCCACCAACTTGGTTAAACAGAACGAGCGTAGAGGCCGAGTTCCACGAAGCGGCAACCAAGCTTGTACACCGCGCCTGAATCGACGATAACACATCGTTTGATCACAAAGGAAGGCAACAAGCTGATGTTCTACAGATGGTGACGAGCTGAACAACTGGTGTAGGATGACGGGACGGCAAAATGTGACGAGGTTTGTTGCTCGCTTGCCATAGCAGAATCAATGATAGTGACTGTTTCGGCGGATGCATAATCAAGTTTTTCTGTTGTATGATGATAGGTAAAACTCGTCTATTCGCGACGATATCGCCATTACCGTGCCACCATCCCCATGTTGCCATTTACTCCGTTCCTGAAAACAAACCAAACTCCATTCGTCCTCTACGATGCACTTAAGGGTGCGTCCGATGCGCTAATTGCCGATAACCATCGAGCACTATTCGTTATTAGTGAGCTGCGTAGGATTGCAGTAGCAGGGAAGTGCTTGGCTTACCGCCATGAACACACAGCATAGACTCATATATGGACTTAGCCTCTCCCCTATTCTCGCCGCCTTCCAGAAGATGCCCATGAAACTGTAATACAAAAACTTAGCCTCATTCACAACGTGATAGTGCGCGCAAACTAGGATAGCAAAAACATACCCCTGCTTATTCCTGTCGAGAATCGTTGGGAAGATTTGGTGTACGTAGGCGCATGTGCAGATAAGGAGGAGGATGACGAGGAGGAGGGACTGGAAGTTGAAGAGCGCAGACTGGATTTGACAATTAGTATTAGCATTATTATGTCAATATATCGAAATCTAAACTTGCCATGTTGTCAGCCCGAACTGTTAGTTAACGATGATGCTATACGCGTCGTCTATTGTTCTCGAATGCCGGTTGGTTTGTTATTTACCCAGGTACGTATGCGGCGATTTACAGTTTCAGCCTTTCTAGAAGCCAGCTGTCGATAGAATTGGAGAGCTTACCTAAGGAGAAGCTTATCCGGCGATAATCCGTAGCGCGAAGCATGGATGACAGGGGTCTGAATGGGGGAACCGTCAACTAGATGGTACGTACCAATGTTTAAATTTCAGCTCCAAGTTACACGGGCAGAACAACCGGTAGTCAGGGGTGTGTGTACATAGTGTACATACCTTACATTTATCTGATTAACTAGTGTAGACCCCACTACCAAACATCAAGGTACGACTTCCTCAGCCTTACGCTCTCTCTCTCTCTCTCTCTCTCTCTCTCCGTCAAACACCAACTTTGACATCCGATATCCCCAACGTCTCTTACGCGCATCTATAATTAATGACCAGCACCAATTCATAAGGCCATAAATCCTTCGCCCAAGGAAATACCAGCCTCGCCACTTTATAGTTATAAAAACACCTATCGCGTTCATCATGGAGCCTCGCGCCCGTGCTGGTAAGAATGTGGGCAAGGAGACTTTCAATGCGAAAGAGAGTACGTATATTACATCATCTTTACCCCCCAATGACAATATACCCACCCCACAGCCAACCCAAACAAACTAACCGAACCCCTCTAGTCCGTGCCCTCCTCTACGCCTTCGGCGACGTCCAGGACCCGTTGCCGGACACAGTACGCGTGCTAGACGAGATCGTGACCGAGTTCCTAGAGGGCGTCTGCTTCGAGGCGAGTCGCCACGCGCAGGTAGCCGGGCGCCAGAAGCTCAAGTTCGACGACTTCGAGTTCGCCCTGCGCCGCAACCCGCAGTACCTCGGGCGCGTCAAGAGTATGATCGAGAAGCGTCAAAAGATAAAAGAGATGCGGCGTACTTTCGATCAGGAGGACGACGCGCTTGCTAAGGAGCACGGTAAGGAGAGTGCTGCCGCTGCTGCTAATGCTGCGGCTGGCGGGGATGACGATCTGCTTGGCCTGGACGACGAGGATGAGGATCTCGAGCTTATGAATATCGCAACGGCGGCGTCGTCGGCGAAGGGCGCGGGGAGTAAGAAGAGGAAGAGAACGCCGAAATAGGCGAGTTGCGAAATGGGGATATATATATTGGTTGGGATATGACGTGGTGTCGTTATGAATAGCGATTATGATGAATTTGCATCTTTACAGGCATAGCGACGGCGTTGGAGGTAGAGGAATACCAGATTGCATTTTAGAGTCACGATAGTCTGGGTCAGGTTCTTTTGCTCGAGACTAATACACGCATGCTTCACTACCAATTTACGTTGTTCTTATCGAGTCGTTTTGTATGAAAACATGTTTACGCTGGTGTTTGAAACTGGAAATGTAGGTTTACAACTAAGTAACTCGACTCTAATAATAACTCTTTAGTTGTTGTAGGCGACGAGAGTATCTCATCTAGAGGGTAAGTACCTAGACAATTAACTACGGCCATATCTCGCCTTAACATTTCGGCCTCACTTCTTCCCCGCGACCTCAGATTCGAGCTCAGCGTCAAAGAAGACAAGTCTTATAACCCTCAAAACCAGATAACTACCTACCTACCAAACTCACTCTCACTAAGCGAGAAATCATCTCTACTTGCCGACCAACAAAATGCGTCCCACACTCGCTCTCCTACTCCCCAGCCTAGCAGCCCTCACCACCGCATCCCGCGCCGCCGACCGCTTTGCCGTCTTCTTTGTGTCGCTTAACGGGACGGGGTTTGCGAGCTGGTCTTGTTAGGGGTTGGTGGTGGGGATAGTAAATATATATATGATGGGTGTTGTATATATGATAGGTAGGTAGGCAGGTAGGCATTATAGGCGTGCAGGGGTGAAAAGTAAGAAATAGCAAGTGTATATACTTAGTTACACGTATATTTTGGCGGCATCTCAAGCTTCGTGTATAGCAAGACTAGTCACTAGCATTGGTTGATGAACGGCCAACAACACCCTATTGTTAATTTGTTCAAATGCCAATACAGTAACACTTACGTATGTGCAGCTATATAAGTTATAGGAGCGAAGGAGGTGGAAGAAACGCCCCTGTAGTGAGAGGCTTACTACTTACGTCTTCGTACTGATACTCTGAAATATTAGGGGCAACTGATGATAAATAAAATCACTTTTACCTAATCTATCAAAACAGCAATAAGAATAGTTCCCTATGCTTTTAAAGTCAACTCTCATAATTGAATATATGCTTGCTGCAATGATATATTACTAAGAGCTTCAGAGCGGCATATCTTATAGTACCTAGGCGGCTGAATAACCATAAAACTGTGTCGTCTCGAAACCTATGTAGTAAAGTTTCCATTTTCAAGTTTATCGAACTCTAGTACAGCCTCAATATGAGTTTTAGATCCAGCCGCGCCCAGCGTACCTAGGTACCTAGTCATCTAAGGTTTAGAGACCAAGCAGTGCGGTACTGATAGTTCCCATGTTTAAGTTTAATTAGGCTTTCCATATCAACAAAACCATCCCATCTCTATACCTTCAATCTTACATCCCGACACTCTATGTATTGATTAGTGTGGCACACTTGCCGGTTCCGGGTAGTGATCAGGTACTAAGTGCTACGCCCAGTCGCATCGGGAGTTGAACGTATTACAACCCTACTTCGCGATTTACCAACCTAACTTACACAAATAGACAGACTCCCAAAAAGGTTCCCGCTGCGACCCCCAGCCCCGGATCATGCGCCTGCTGGGCCGGCTAGTCCGGCGTTGAGACCCACACGGGGTAACTACCGATTCGCTGGATGGGCCGCGACATCGGGGTCGACAGGACGATCGCGCCAGTAGTGGCAGATGACGTTTTCAGGCATTCCGACAGCCGCAGAGCTAGTTTCATGATTCCTACCTGTTAGGCGAGTGACAATAATTTGTAGATACCTACAACCCACATTAACACTTAGACAGGTTCTTCCTACTAACTCCAACCTTGAAGTCTAAGATAAAGTATGAAAAACGTATAAGAATGGTGTTTATAGTTAGATAAGCGACCCAGCTATTTTCAACCTTAACTCGGAGTATTTTCTTGTATCCCGTTCAAGTATATGAGTGCTTAGACCCCACAACAAACTTTCGGCGGATGCGGCCACTTCGGTTCGTAGTGGTTGCATCTTGGGATGGGTAGTTATGGTTGCTAATAATTTGTCTTCCCCCGCTTACGACAAGGTCGATCTTCAGCCCAAATAAATTACCAGAACCTATCCTATCTCCAACAGTCTCTTCAGCATTGCTTGCTAGGGGGAAACAGAGATAGGGTACTCGCCGTAAAGCTATTCCAAACCTCGTTCATACTCGTCCTTGAATCCGTGTGGATGAGTACGTAATCGGCGTCCTTGGGATTAGTTAGAGCGCTTCGGAGATATTGATGATCATGTCGCCCTCTATATTAATCCACGAAACTAAGCAACTCCACAATCGTGATGAAATTATCCTCTCTTATCTCCCAGTATTGGTCGACAAACCTGAGAAACACATCGAATTCGGATCAGACTTATCAACTGTCGTAGACATCGAGTCAGATCGTTTTTCTTTGGATGGACAAGGAGGGTCGCCCGGACCTCCCTTAGAACCTAGCAAGACTCCTCCAAGCTTGGGAGTTCGAGGGTGGTTTGGATCAGCGTGGCGTAAAAACAAAGCACCAGTTTTGGTATTCGCAGCACAGTTCTTCGGGTCGCTGATGAATCTTATTGCTCGGCTACTTGAGATAGAAGAAGGAGGCATGCATCCTATGCAAATTCTCTTTGCAAGGATGAGTATGACAGTTATCGGTGCGTCTGCATACATATGGTGGAAGAGAATCCCGCACGGCGTATTAGGACATAAGGATATCCGGTGGCTCCTGGTGTTGAGAGGGTTCTCTGGTTTCTTTGGTATATACGGTATGTGGTACTCAGTCAAGTATATACCACTTGCTGAAGCAACCGTTATTACTTTCCTCGCTCCTAACATCGCTGGGTACTTGTGCCATATCTTCATGCACGAACCATTTACACGAGTTGAGCAGCTCTCGTCGCTTGTGGCACTGGCAGGAGTCGTGCTCATCACAAGGCCAGCGTCCCTCTTCTCAGATGAAGCTTCTTTGTCTGCCGCTAGTAACATAGCAGCGGAAGCCGTCGTAAACGCCACGGCAGAAGCAACTTCTTACCCAGGCGGAGAGCATATCTCAACAAGTGCCGAGCGCTTGAAAGCTATTGGTGTTGCGCTCTTGGGCGTCCTTGGGGCGGCGGTTACTTTCACGACATTGAGATGTATCGGGAAGCGGGCGCACCCTTTGATATCAGTCAACTACTTCAGCTCATGGACCTTGATCGTCACAACTACAACTCTGTCCCTTGCGCCGATGCTCGACTATGGGCAACCGGATCTACGTCTCGAGCTACCACACTCGATCCGCCAATGTGCGCTGCTCATAGCGGTTGCCGCATGTGGTGTAATTATGCAAATACTTATGACAGCTGGCCTAGCTATCGAGAAGAGCAACCGTGAAACTGCTATGACCTACACACACATGTTATTCGCGGCGGGGTTCGACCGTTGGGTCTTTGGCAATAGTATGGGTTGGACGAGTCTCACAGGATGCGGACTTATCGTTAGTAGTGCATTATGGGTTGTTCTTACGAAGAAAGAGACGAGGAAGAAGGGCGATTATGAAGATGTAGAGAGAGGAGACATAGCTATTGCAACCTCTGCGGACAACGAAAACGCACCAATGCTTTGCGAGGATATGGATAGAAATGCGAAGGAAGAAGAATGTATTATGCTTAAACGAGTAGGTTAGAGATGTAAGATCAGATTCTATAGATATCTAGATAGATAGGGGTGAATTGTATATAAGAGAGACATGTACATAGAAGATGTGTATATGTATTAAATGAAGTACTAAAGTCTAAAGTACCTCTACTTAGGTAATCTGCATTGAGCGTCAACTTATCAAAGCTTTATATACAGTAATCAAACACAGTATAAAAACGGACTGCACAGGCGCGACCCAGAAAAGTTTCGCGACTTTAGAGCTCTAACATCAATTCATCGATTCGTTGACCCAAGCTCCCAACTCTGATAAGTTCATAATTTCTAATGCGACACCCATTTTCAGCACTTCTTCCAAGCTATCAGTTTTACATAAGATTTCTAGCCCTACAAATCTTTTCAAATAAGCAATCAAGATCGGTCGTTGATTGAATCTACATTACCTAGAACCACGATTTATTCCCGCCGTCCAGTGATAAACTCATCCCTTCGCAAAGATGGTGCAAATCAGCGAGGTCAAGGGCAACAATCGCGAAAACCGAACTGCTGCTCACACTCACATCAAAGGACTGGGCCTCAAGTCCGATGGCACAGCTGAGAAGCAGGCCGGTGGCTTTGTAGGCCAACAGCAGGCTCGAGAGGTAAGCCTCCTAGTGTCGGCCTATATCAGGCTGACTACTAACTTATTTTTCTGCTCGGCATAGGCTGCTGGCGTCATCGTCGACCTTATCCGCTCTTCGAAGATGGCCGGCCGTGGTGTATTACTCGCGGGCGGACCCGGGACCGGAAAGACAGCCCTTGCGCTTGCGCTGAGCCACGAACTCGGCACCAAGATTCCCTTTTGCCCAATCGTCGGAAGCGAGATCTACTCGACCGAAGTGAAGAAGACCGAGGTGTTGATGGAAAACTTCCGAAGAGCCATCGGGCTAAAAGTACGCGAGACGAAAGAGGTTTACGAGGGTGAAGTCACAGAGCTCACCCCAGAAGAGGCAGAGAACCCGCTAGGTGGCTATGGAAAGACTATCAGCACGCTACTGATAGGCTTAAAGAGTGCAAGGGGACAGAAAAAACTCAGATTAGATCCAAGTATCTATGAAGCAATTCAGAAGGAGAGAGTTACTGTTGGAGATGTCATCTACATTGAGGCGAACACAGGTGCCTGCAAAAGAGTTGGACGATCAGACGCGTATGCCACAGAGTTCGATCTCGAGGCAGAGGAGTATGTCCCTATTCCAAAGGGTGAGGTGCATAAGAAGAAAGAGATCGTGCAAGATGTTACACTTCACGACCTGGACGTTGCCAACGCCCGACCCCAAGGCGGCCAGGACATAATGAGTATGATGGGCCAACTCATGAAGCCCAAGATGACGGAGATCACAGAGAAGCTACGAGACGAAATCAACAAGGTGGTCAGCAAATACATCGACCAGGGAGTGGCTGAACTTGTCCCTGGTGTCTTATTCATTGATGAGGTAATACCCGTCTACCATAACATACTGAATTTCGAGCCGGGAAGCTAATCTATAGTAGGCACACATGCTTGACATCGAGTGTTTTACATATCTCAACCGGGCGTTAGAATCTTCAATCTCACCGATTGTCGTGCTTGCCTCAAACCGTGGTATGTGCACCATCCGCGGTACGGATGGTGTCGTTGCGGCACACGGCATCCCCCCTGACTTCCTAGCCCGACTCCTCATTATCCCTACCACACCGTACGAGGCCGACGAGATTAAACGCATTGTACGCATCCGAGCAACAACAGAAGGTGTGCAGATTACGGATGCTGCTATTGACAAGATCGCGGAGCACGGTGTGCGCATTAGTCTCAGATACTGTCTTCAGTTGTTGACTCCTGCAAGGTATGTATTCTATAGTCTACTATGTTTCTTGCTCCTTTCGATCCAATTGGGTAACTAATTTATCAAAAAATAGCATTCTCGCTCGAGTCAATGGTCGTAGTCAGATTGATGTTAAAGATGTTGCAGAGTGCGAGGAGCTTTTCCTCGATGCGCGACGGAGTGCCGACTTACTGAGCGGTGAGACAGGACGTGGGTTTATCTCGTAAGCACGTTGTGTCTTAAGAAAACGGGAGGTCTTAGACCACGGACGGGACTTGTCATAATAATCCAATTTCGCAAGGCTACGGCCCCGAAACTGCGAGAAATAGGGATTCGGGATAGGAAAATTACATTACGGAGGGGTTTCGGAGTTCCTAAATGTACTATGTATGTGTGTGTTGGTTGTTCACAATATAAATAGAGAGACAACCTGGTTGGTTGCTTTCCAGATGGCCAACCCCAGAGATAATACTGAGACATTGCAAAACGACGATTCTTCACAAAAACTTGGCTAACCTAGGGACAATGAAAAGTTATGGGTCCACGTGACTTATATCCAGGCTAATTTCGGTTGACATTGTCTTTGTTGTTGCTAGCAATTGAGGGGAATGAGAGCTCGTAAGAGACAGTGTTAGGTAGGGTATTCACTCCGTTCCAGCAGGGGGGCGGCAGACCATGGAGCATTCCTACCTGTGTATTGTACCTAGTGTAGCTTTGAACTAAGCGGTTGTCATGCTGTGTCAAGCAGTCAAGAAGGGAAACTTCCTAATTTCTTTTTTGACTGCGTCGAACAAGGCCACTATATATATATATATATATATGCATTGACTATTGGCCTTATAGACTTTGTTGTCTAATATATTTGTTATACTTACTCTTGTCATCATTAGAATGATTGGCCTATTGTCGACTACTGCGAACGGCAGAGCAATTGTTAGGTATTGGCTGTTGCAAACGCTGGACAAAGGAAGGGGGAGAAAAAAGATAGGTTAGGTAGAGAGAAGTGGCTCTAATCTGCAACAGCCTGGACCTCAGTATATTCCCGAGACATAGTCCCAAAGAAACATATCCTCTTTTTCCCTCTCTCGACCTAACCTAACCTGCCGGCCCCTATTTCCCTAGTAACTGATTAGTTGCGTTGGCAAAACACTTTGTTAATGGCCAACGCTGGGTTTGTATGTGCGTATGCGGGAGAGTCAACAGTAGTAGTAGTGGCAACGGCATAAGGTCATTGACCACCTAAAGTGTACCTCCTCTCTTCCTAAGGTCATTGGTCATTGTCACCTAGCACCTAGCTGAAGCCTTGTGAATAGAAAGGATATCAACAAAGAAAACAATCCTAACAAGCCCTTAGTTGTTGCCTCCACCATTTATTCATGTCTCATGTCTTCGCCCCAGATCGACAGCCACATACACACCCTACTACGAGTTAGTTAGCTTATCACATCATCACCGACGCCGTCCCCGTTTCCAAGGATCCTTCTCTCTTCAGATGCCAGACCCCTGAGGCCTTGGTGATCGTTGTAGCGAGAGCTCGTGTATGCTCCCGAACCGGGACTCCGCTCTTTGAGCTGTCCGTCCTCCCCACACACCGACACGCTCTGCTTGGCTACTACCGTTTGCGAAGAACATGACAGAACCTAGCAGCAGCTATCCTTCTCCCTCTGCCTCCCAAAATGACCGGTCTTCCCTCCAGACTACAGATTCTTCAGCTACGCTGACAACCACCACTACAAGACAGGCGGAGTCTACGATGGCAACGAATTCCCACGACGATAGGGCAGTGGAAGCAGCAAGATCAAACCTCATAGCAGCTCCAGGAGCACACCTACCTGATGATGGTAGTTCATCAGCAACCGCCGTTACAAGACAGGCTCGAAAACGAGCATACTCCATCGACGTGGACGAGGCGAATCAACCCCGAATCCAAGATCTTCGACTTTATACTCCTAATACAGCAACATCAAATACAACCGAAGGGCTTAGGGACCTAATATGTCTCTGTACAAAAGCACCCAAGGTTCCTAGGCCGCGTAACGGTACGTAAAGAAGTTTTACTCATGTTTTCTGCTGCCATTCTATTTGCCTTAGCAAACTCGAGTTTGGGACTCTACCTGAGCCGAAAATATTGCCCACCGCTCTTCTTTCCAACCCTTTACTGTTTCCCCTTTGCTTCTCCAAAAACACGACAAGGTTTCAGATGTATCCCAGTCCCGAGACGGGTAACTCGGACGGCTATCTCTTTGTCCGCGTGTTGTGTTCTGTATTTAGAATTCAAAGGGGCGGAAATGAAAGGGTCGAGACTTGTCTTATTACATCCGGTAACAAATTGAATATGTTGTAAACTTGAACCTGGGAGCATACAGCTGACATTCGCTTTCACCCCTTCCAACAGCATTCATTCTTTATCGACAGCACTACCAAGGCCAGGTCGCCGCCCGGAATCCGGGACTAGCCAACCCAGAGATATCAAAGCTCATTGGCGAACAGTGGCGTGAGCAACCCGAAGAGATAAAGAATAATTGGAAACGGCTTGCAGAAGAGGAAAAAATTCGACATCAGCGTCAATACCCCGACTACCGATACCAGCCTAGGCGAGGGGGCAAAGCTTCCGGCAGCAGGCCCATACCGGCGACTGGCGAAGATCCTGGTCACTGTCCTAAGTGCGGTGGACGTTATATCGCGACACCAAGGACACCATCCACTCCTTTCAGTGCCGCAACACCGGAAGGTGCCGGGCCGGGCCTTAATATGCCGTCCTATGCGATACCAAACCCAAGAGTGATCGAGACAGACCACTTACGGCGTGGATCAGGTTCAAGCAGCATGTCTCTTGATAGCCAAGAACGTCGATATATACCACCGCATATGCAAAATATCGATGAGGACTACCCGATGATGTCGCCAATAGGAACACCGGTGGATACAAAACGACGTCGATTCAACGGGCCGAACGTATTCACTCCGGGATCGCCACCGATGGGCTATATGTCTGCCGATCCACGATACCACCGTCAACCGCTCGCCGGTCCACCACTGTCAGCAACTGGATATGGCCCTGGGCCACTACCTAGACTAGGTAGGCAATGGCAAATGGTCGGCCAGCCTAATTATCCTCACATGCAACCACCACCGCCGCCGCGTACGTCAATGACATACCAAGCTGCTTCGACACTAACTCGTCATACCTCTGCATTTGATGAGTCTCTCCGATTGCCACCGCTACAAACACAGGTCCCAGGCTCGCCAGCCATAAGCTCAGGGCCAGGACCGGCACGCGTGCCCCCTAGCGTTCAATCTGGGCATGGGCATGGCCATGGCATTCCAAATAGTGCCAATGCTCCCCCGAAGCAACCGCAACCACAACATGCCCTACCAAGATGGTCATTCCTACTGAAGCTGGATGTGCTACGCTCGATTAGCTCGCCCCTGAAGCCCCCTAGCCCGGGAGGGCCGTTGTTCGAAACGCGAGGCCCTCTTATCGCCATCGAAGGTGCGGCCCCAGCCATACTGAAAGAAGTGGCGGTTGTAGTAGAGAAAGCGTTGTCTGTTTCAGGAGAATATGCCGTAAAGACTTGGACAGAAGATACCCAGACCCAACTAAGACCGGTAGAAGCAGATGGAAGGAATAATAGTAATACCAGCGAGAACGAGCAAGTCATAAGAGAAAACAGCCCACCGAGAGGGTCGGGGCTCTTAAGTCCCCTGGCAACTTATGTTGCAAAGATGCTGAAATGGCACAAGATATCCGAAGAACTTATAAAATACATCACCAGCCACCCGCCGCCAACAAGCACGACGCACGGCGAGACGGGAGAGAATTCCATGGACGTCCAAGTATCGCCCAAGACCAAGCCCCGACTTCCGGTTGCCGTCGTGTCCGACGGCTACAGCCTGACGGTCTCGGATAGATACGCCAGCTCGCTGCACGTAAACGACGCCTACCGCGCCGACGACCACTGGCAGTGGCTAGCGACGCTGTGGCGAGGCATCGTCGGCCCCGACCTAACGATATACGTCAAGCGGACCGCGGAGGCAGAGGCCCAAGGAAACAGCCTCTTGGAGTTCGCCAACCCGGCCGTCATGGTGCTGCACGTGGCGGAGGGGGCCAAGGGGGTAGACGAGAAGCTGGAGCGGCGGCTCGGCTTCGAGATCATGGAGTGGGTGCGCAGCGGGAGTTTCAAGGCGGGGTTTGTGCTGCCGCCGCCGCCGCCGCCAGCATCGCGTTCGTGAATTTTACTCGATTGGGGGGGGGGGGGGGGGGGTTCACGTATTATTGATTCACGGGTGAAGAAAAAAGAGGGTTAAGGGGGGATGAGGAGAAGGAGGAGGAGGGGGAGGTTTACAATACCCTATGTTGCATAGTTATGAATTTGTGCTCAGCTAGCTGTGGCGAGTTAAATTACACTTGTACGTACGTTAAAAAAAAACATGTGTATGGGAAAATGGGAATCATGTATGTATGGTATGGTATGCTGTATGTATGAATGTATGTATTGTAAGTAATGAAACGGGACGGGGACGGGTTGTGCGAATAGCATCGTATACATACCCTCTACATATGGCTTTTTGGCGGTTTATAAGATCACTTGACCTTTTTTCTATTTTTATTTTTATTTTTATTTTTACTTTTATTTTTCGTGATGCCACAAAGTCTCACTTCAGGTCGTGTCAGGTCGGAGTATTCGTGATGAAGGTGAGACCCCCTGAGTTAGGTAGGACGAAGTTGTGTTGAGGGAGAGGTGCATCGAGACTTGCAAGATGCCTTCTATTTGATGTTACTGATACAGTGATAACTCTACCGTATGTAATTAAACAAAAACTGTATAAACTGTATAACCACACTGTGATTTTCCGTAATAGCCCCGATAAGGAGGTACCTATGTAATGATTATTCGCGTGACGAAACGAGCAACGCGTATTTTGTACTTTTTAACCAAGAACAAAGAGCTTCAAACGTCAAGCTTCAGGGCCAACCACCAAACGCCCTGGTCCATTATGAACTAATTGCGAGGAATTCCTGCCCAGAATGTCGGATGTCGAAGTCGGGCAGACGATTCGGCTCACCGACGGCCGCAATGCGATTGTTCGATATGTCGGACAAACCCATTTCGCTGTGGGCGACTGGATAGGTATCGAGCTTGAGGATGATGGGGGAAAGAATGACGGTTCCGTCCAGGGCGAGCGCTATTTCGATTGCTCCCCGGGAAGAGGCATGTTCGTCCGGCCCGCTACCGTGGCGGCAGTGCTCCAGTCTGCTCCGCCTACTAGGTCTGCTGCCCCTGCTCAAAGAGGGCCGCGAACAGGCACAGCTGCTAGACGACCGAGCTCTGTGACGGGACGACCGAGCTCCGTAGCAGGACGATCAAATTCTGTAACAGATCCTTCGACGGGCAAACGAATGAGCTTGAATGCGCCCAGTCCGAGTCCGGTACCTAGGAGGTCTTCATCTTCTCGACCGTCTAGCATGGTGAGGGTGCGTATAGCTTATACTAATAGTATACCCCCGTATTTCTTTAATTCTAAACTTGCCATAACAGTCTCCCACTAAGTCTCCTACGAAGCAACTTGGAATGACCGCCCCGCCTAGCGTTTCGACCTCGAGAACCGGTACACCGTCGAATGCGCGCGTTTCTTCTATCGGAGCGAGGCCTCGTCCTCCGGCAGTGAATACCAGAACCTCTATGGGGCCACCAGCCTTACCTTCTGCTGGTAATAGAAGACAAGTATCGACGTCATCTAATACTACAAGATCTGTTAGTGGTGCCACAAGGCCTCCCGGCGCACGAGTCTCTACCGGGGCTGCTCGCGGATCTCGTCCTACTTCTGGGAGAGTACGGTCGGGGGATTCCTTATCAGGAAATGAGGGTGGTAACAGATCGGATCTGGGCTCTCCCTTTAAGAGCGATGGAGAACAAACGATAAGCCCCGTGCGCTCTAGAACGAAGGCTCTAGAGAAGCTTACTTCTACGGGGCCGTCTTCGACGACGTCTTCTAAGCAACCAGCGAGCGCGGCAAGCTCGAAAGCGCCTCCGAGTACGGCTACTTCTACCCGTGCATCTGCTACTAGCGCAGCTAGGGAGAACGAGGACCTAAAAGCAAAACTAAAGGTCCTGGAGCGCAAGCGCTTGGAAGATCGGGAAAAGATCAAAGATTTGGAGATAATTCAGGAGCAACGAGATAAGTTCGAGTCTATAAATAAAAAGATAGAGGGAAAATACCAGTCTACGGCACAGGAAAACTCCGCTCTACGGAAGCAGTTGAAGGAGGCGGAAGAACGACTAGTGCAGATCGAGACCTTACAAGCAGAGCATGAAACCGTCATGGAGCTCGCGACGCTAGACCGCGAGATGGCCGAGGAGACTGCCGAGGTTTATAAAGCCGAGCTTGACGCCTTGAAGCAAAAGGCAGAGGAACTCGAGCTCGAAGTAGAGGTTCTACGCGAGGAGAATGCCGAGTACTCCCAGGGTATGTCTCCTGATGAAAGGGCGAGTACGGGATGGCTTCAAATGGAACGACATAATGAACGGCTACGTGAAGCTCTTATTAGACTACGAGATATTACCCAAGAGCAAGAAGAGGAGTCGAAAGCGCAAATTAAAGCACTTGAAAAGGACCTGGAAGATTTCGAAGCCATAAAGGAGCAGTACCAAATCGCCAAGGAGAAGCTGCTAGAGTCCGAGACCCGTGCTGAGGACCTCCGACAGCAGTTAGATGACAACGTGGGTGCGGAGAGCATGATCGAGCAACTTAGCTACGAGAAGCTACAGCAGTCTGAACACATCAACGAGTTGAAGGCCATGATAGATGATCTCGAAGCACTCAAGGAGATCAATGACGAGCTTGAGGTTAACCATGTTCAGAACGAGAAGGAAATGCAAGACGAGCTCGATTTCAAGGATAGTATCATTGCCGAGCAAGCACGAAGAGCTTCTGAGAAGGACGATACCATAGGAGATTTGGAATACACGCTGTCTCGATTTAGAGAGCTCGTCACTAACCTCCAGACCGACCTAGAGGATATACGTGCATCTCATGCCGTTAACGAGGCCGAGTCTGAACAGCTCAACAGCAAGTCGAGGGCGATGATGGATCTCAACCAGAAACTCCAGCTTTCAGCCGTGAAGACACAGATCAAGACCATCGATCTAGAGCTGCAGCGCATGGACGCCCAGGAAGCGCAACAGCATCTCCAGATTGTTAAATTGTTCTTGCCTGAGAGCTACAACACCGACAGAGATTCTGTCCTGGCGTTGTTGCGATTCAGCCGGTTGGCTTTCAAGGCGAACTTGCTTCACGGCTTCGTTAAAGAACGTGTCAACAAACAGCCGCACCCTGGCCTTGAAGATGATGCACTCGCTGGCTGCGACGCATTGGATAAGCTTACTTGGGTATCTTCCATGTGCGACCGTTTTGTCAACGCTATCAGTCACTGTTCGCTAGAAGAATTTGCCAAATACGAGGGCGCCTTGTATGAGCTAGAACCTGTCGAGCGAGCTCTAAATACCTGGATCGATGGCCTTCGACGTGACGAGCTGAAAGAGAAGCAGTGTGCCAGCGAGCTACAGCGTACTATTGCTCTTATGACACATCTAGGCGAGGTCCACATCTCACAAGATCTAGAAAGCTTCGCAGATGAGATGCAGATGAAGACAATCTTAATGCAGAGCCATCTAGAGTCCGCTGCTACAGCATTTAACATAGTAAAGGATATGGTCCAAAGAGTTGTGCCTCCCAATGGCGACGAAGACGAACTTGCTCAACATTTCGCGAAGAAATCTGAAGCCGTCATTACCCAGACTCGTAGCGCTAAGGTGATTATTAGCAAGGCGGTACGATCTCTAGAGGATCTTAGAGCCAGGTCGCTGGCTCTTACTCCTGATACTGTGGAAGCGTTTGAAGAATGTGAGGCTGCAAGCCAAGAACTTGCAGAGATGTCTCGAAAGATTGGCGTGGACCTTCATAGGCTACTCAGCGAGGAAGGCCGCGCAGAGCCGTTCACATACCCAGAGGTTCAGAGCACCGTTCATAATACTATTATGACTGCATTCTCGTCCGCCGAATCCGATCTCTTCTCGACTTATCTCTCCAAACTTCGCACGCTCACTGGTCAAGTTACCGATCTTGCTGCTGTTTGCGCCGATCTATCGCAGACGCAGGAGTTCGAACGCAGCCAAGCGCCGTGGATTCTCCGTGCGCAGGAGCTTAAGGCACTCAAGACAATCCCGATCGACGCCGAGGAAGAGCTGCGACAAATTAAGGAACATTACAATGAAGCTCGTCGGACGATCGCTCTGCGCGATGAGAACCTTAGCACAGCTGCCCTCCGCATCGAAACGCTTGAGGCACGCATGCGGGATGCGAATGCAAAGGCATCTCGCATGGCGGACCTTGAAGCGCAGCTCGCAGACGCACAGAAGCTCGTGGAAAGTCTCAAGAAAGACATCGAGCAGCAGGACCGCGAGGCCAAGACCCTCGAGGTCGACCGCGACAAGTGGAAGAAGATCGCCGGCGATAGCAGGGCGTTTGGCGACGAGACCGGCTCCAACGGTAGCAGGGCGAAGGCCGGCCAGGAGCGCGCGGTGGCCACAGCACGTGAGATGGATGCCCTTAAAAATGACATCGCTAGCTTACAAGCTGCTATTCGGTACCTACGTGAGGATAACCGGCGCGCGCGCGCAACGGAACAGGCCCGACATGATTGGCTTGCCGAGCCCCTGCAGAAACCTGTTCCCGTTGTAGAACAGCGGAGGGCGCTTGTGGCAGCTGAAGGTAGGGACGCGCTAGGCGAACTCCTGAAGCTCGCGACATCCGCCAAGGTCTACGACTTGAGTACCCTGCCGAAAGACAAGATGGCATGGCGTCCCGCGAAGGCGACACCACAGTATCACGCTGCCAAACAGGCTGAAGACTACGCTACGTGGAACAGCTGGCAAGGATCCGTAATCCAGAAGACTAGGGTAGTGCTCACCGCCGAGCAAGGCAGGAAAAGACATCAAGAGTCCGACCACGCGAAGATGATGCGCAAGGCCGCCGCGAGACTGCAGATCCGACTCCCTGATGCCGACGGTAAGGTGATTCCCGGTGCTGGTGCAAGAGAGGTCCAGATCGTTGGGTCTAGGGAGTGGGAGGGGCTGCAGGGGAGACTTGCTGCGGCCATGTAAAGTGTAACATCGCATACGCAGGATGATGAGTATTGGGGGCTTACGAAGGAGGAGAGGTCGAGATACCCTTGATTAGCAAACATTTGTATCATTACACATTATTCTTTTGCAGCGTGGCCAGCAACGCGTAGCAGATGTTGAAGTCACATGTCCATTATGGTGTATTCGTTGGTTTATCTTTGTGTTGTAGAGATGTGTTCGTAGAGGATATGCCATGATGATGCTGGGAGCCTATCCTATACTCCCTGACTGGTTTCCCCCTTTTCCTAACTCGAGGACCCGTACATCCCGTATCTCTTCTCTTCCCATCCCATTCTGTCCTAGAAGCCATCCTTTCAAAGCCTTAGAATGTCCACTCACGCCTTCCCCTTCCCCTTCTTCCCCTTCTTCCCACCTCCTCCTCCTCCTCCTCCTCCACCAGCCTCGCTTCCACTAGCCCCCGCTCCTCCTCCTCCCCCTCCTCCCGGCCCTCCAAATCCTCCGAGCCCCTGGCCAAGCATACTCATCATGTCAGCCGGACCCCCGCCGGCGCCTCCCCCTCCGCTCTGCATCTCCCGCATCATGTCCTTGAACGCGTTCTCGCTGACCCCGCCGCCCGTCATGGCGGCGCTGTACGCGGGCAACAGGTCGCCCATCTTCCAGCCGCGCGGGACGGCAGGGCGCGGCCAGGGCTCGTGGTCGGCGGGGGCGCCGCCGAGGCCGGGGACGCGCACGCGGCGGAGGGCGTCGCTCGCGTCGGTGGTGGGGTGGGCTTGCAGGTGCTGGGCGACGAGGACGTACAGGTGGTGTTTGTTCTTGACGGGGGCGGCGTAGGGGTTGGGGTTGGGGTTGTGGCTGTCGGCTTTGGACAGCTTCACGCGCACGCGGCCCGGGTTCGCCCAGTCCTTGGGGTGGAGGCGGTGCGCCTCGAAGACGGGGGATAGGCGCAGGGCGGCGCAGGCGGCGGCGATTTCGCGCGCGAGGGGGTTTGCGACGGCGAGGGATTTGGATACGCGGCGGCCCTGGGCGCGGGTGCGCGTTAGGTCGAAGTACACGGGGTACAGCATTTGGTAGTCTTTTATGTCGCTGGCTTGGACTTGTTGGGCTTGGGGGGCGGAGGAGGGGTGGAGGAGGGTGGGATTGGGGTTGGGGTTGTTGCTGTTGCTGGAGGGGAATGGGGAGGTGGTGGTCGCGGGGACTTTTTGTCGCAGGATGTCGGTTTCGAGGAAGTCTTCGATGTCGCCCTCGCTGGGGTCCGAGAGGTCGCTGTCGGACACTTCTTCGATTCGGGGATGTGACATGGCGGGTGGGTGGTTGATGGTGAGTAGTTGATGGTGAGTAGGTAGTATTGGACGATGTCAGTAGGGCTGGGAAGTATTTGGTTTGGTAACTGTGCCGTCCTTTCTGGTCTAGATTCTTTTGGAGAAGGCAGGAAGGTTGGTTAGGTAGGTACCTACCTATGTTGATTAAGCTCGTGATAACGAGCCCTGATATTGATTGAACCTTGAATTTTGTAGATATGTGGGGTACCTTGTACCTAAACTGCTAGGTTAAAAAGCTGTGTCCTTTTGGTGGAACATTGAATTGAATGGATCCATTGATGTTGAGCTTCCCAGGTAATGGGGTAAATCCGCTAGTCCTCTATTGGTTAGGGCGTTCCCTACTGCAGCCCAGTGGAGAATGCTCTTCCAGCACCGTAAGCCGCACTGAGTCCCGGGGGACCGGGTTTAACGTTTAACTCATATATGGAAACTGTATTAGTGGTAGTTTATATTATATATTATAGCCGGTTGTTATCGCCAGCATTCCCGCAGCCTGTGGGACATGAAATATAAATATATATCACTCATTCATTTACATATCAAGTATGGCGTGACATAGATAACTCCCCACTTTCGCAGATTGTTTTCGAGCCGCGGGAATAGATTGGCCAAAAGATAACGGCGAGTAGTTGAGGTATATATGAACTTGGTATTCTAGGGTATTAGGGAAAGAAAGCACGCGTGTGTCGTTGAGTTTCGGTAGAAATATCAAGTACGAAGCTGAAATGTCGGTAAGATTTACTATACTCGTGGAACCTTTCCGGGGAGCCTCTTTTCTCGAACTTTTGATATTTTCTATTATATTGGTAAGGATAACTGAAGCATTTGGTCTGAGTCTATCTTCACTAAACTTCGTATAAGACCCTAGCACTGGGAATTACCAAGGTCGTTTACAATGTCTTCTTCCACCCGTTAGCCCCTATACCGGGCCCAAAGCTATACGCTATCTCGCCTCTTCCGATAAGCTGGTCTCGAGCACAGGGCAGGTCCCCCTACAAGTTTGCCGAGCTCCATGAGAAATATGGCCCTATCGTACGCGTCGGCCCTGACGAAGTCTCTTGTGCTGGTCCCACATCCTTTAAAGATCTATATGGTCCTCGTTATGGTAAAGGGGGACCTTTAACCCGTGATTCGCGGGCCACACCGCTTAAGGAGAAGTTCGGCGCCGTAGGCATGTTCCAAGCTGGAGTACAGGAGCATGCTAGAATACGTCGCCAGCTTAACCCGGCATTCTCTGAAAAGGCCTCGCGCGAACAAGAACCCCTCGTAATGGGATACATTGACTCTATGATCCGGAAACTACGAGATGCCTCGGCGAGGGGGGATGTTGTGGACATTGAAAAGTACACCATGTGGACGACCTTTGACATTCAAGGCGACCTAGTATTTGGCAAAGATGTCTTCGAGTGCATAGAGAAAGAGCAATACCATCCTTGGATCAAAATTAGTATGGCCTATTTCACGTCAGGGGTTTACACGCACGCCCTAAACGACATTTCGTCTTGGGCGCTATGGGTTTGGCAAAAGTTCCTTATTCCAAAGAGCTTTGCTGATGCGCAGGACTATCATCTTAGGACTACTCTAGATCTGGTAGACAAGAGGATGGCTTCGAAGAAGACGGATCATCCGGATTATATGTCATTTATTACTAGTGAAAGCAAGGCCGGCGAGGTTCTCACGAAAGAGCAGATGTATGCCAACGCCCAGATGCTGGTAACGGCCGGATCAGAGACGGTAGCAACAGCATCTGCTACTACACTTTTTCTCTTGCTCACCCATCCAGAGGCTATGGAACGAGTTAAGCGAGAGATTCGGTCTACGTTCAAGTCAGAGCAGGACATTACAGCTGCTTCCGTTATCAATCTCCCATACCTCTTAGCTGGGATAGACGAATCTATGCGTGTCTGGCCTCCAGTTGCAACATCATTCAACCCTCGACTGATGTCATCTGGATGCTACGCTGTGGATGGCTATTTCATCCCCGAAGGCTCCATCATTGGCATCCACAACCACGCTATTGGTCGTTTGGAGAGATACTTTAAAGACGCAAAGAAATTCGTCCCTGAGCGTTGGTTGGGCGATGAGAGATATGCTAACGATTCGAGAGAGACCTTTCAGGTATGTTTGAGTATCCCCCCATTCCCCCTATTCCTCCCTTACTCTTACAGCATCATAACTTTGAAATCATGGGTACTATCCGCCCAGATATAATATACGTTAAGAATTCTAAATATGAAATAATACTATTGAGTCGAATTAATACCAACCTAACTGACTAACTCCTATTCATAGCCGTTTAGCTCTGGGCCATTGAACTGCCTCGGGCTCACAATGGGACGTATGGAGACTCGAGTTATCCTAGCCAAGCTCGTTTATAACTTCGACATCGAATTAGTTCCCGAGTGCAGAAATTGGCTTGAGAGTCAGAAGAATTATATCGCTTGGCATAAGCCCCCCCTAATGGTAAAGCTGACCCCAGTACAGCGACTATAGGGTAGTACCGTAAGGATTGCGGCTGGAATTATTGCATGGAGTACGTATAGGTAGTATGCTTTCTTCAGCGGAATACATATGCAGAAACATCAATCATCTCAACGCCGCCTTCTTTCTCCATTGTCTAAAAGTGTTCAACAAGAATATAGCCTGGCCGTATAGGTACATGTACATACAAGCCCTATAGTTAAACTTGGTTCCCACAGCAGAAAATGGCGTTTCCGAGGAGATTCATAAAATTCTGGCTAGAGATAAAACAAAGCTTCCCCTCTGTAGATCTTTTCCCCGCGGGATCGGTCCTGTTTCCGTTGCCATTCGGACATATGCGGTGTCATTTGATATATGACGAGTGCCATTTTCTCTGCAGCATTTGGTGTTCTAGCCCTAGGTCGACGTCAAGCCCGCATGAGTATGGCGCCAGGTGCATATGGCCTGATAGCGTTCCTGAGGATCTCTGGGTTGTAGTTATAGTGTTACGCCACCGACGGGATAGCCCGTGTAAGGTGGGGGAAGGAGTATACTTTATGATGCTATACCTATGAGGCTTGAAGAATATATGCAGCCACTGCATAAGGGCTGAAGACAAGCCCTCAACAAAAACCACCAATTACAGCTCTCCATAAAGCAATTACATAGACAATACATCATAGACGGTGTGGGGACCAAGTCAAAACTCTTCAGCCTCCTGCCGCCGAGACCTACCTTAGTCGGTACATATGCCAATCGGACGGCTCCCGACCTAAGTACCCAAGAGTCTTGCTTTATTTAAGTCGCTTATTATTACTAGATCCCGAATCCTTTATGTACAACGTATAGGTAGTTAATGTATAGTTATGCCTTTTTCCTTCTTCTCTTTCTTTCTATTCGACCGCGGAGAAACGTAACGGGAGAAAACATTCGGGACTTATTCGTCAGGAAGTTATTTGTCTGTCTTAGGTACGCAGCCTTATGCATGCGGCTTATTACTCCGATGAATAGTAATCATGCTCCTGGTGCGGGAGCAGGAGCGGGATAGCGGGCGTGTTACTTGTATTGGCCTGACTGGTCCTCATGAACGGGATATAGCACTGGTGATGTTTCGTAGACCTTAGGTACCAGGGGAGGTAGTAGGTACTTGATTATTATGTACCATTGGGATATGATTAAGCTTCGACATGATTCTATACCTACCACATGTCCCTTCTCTATCGTTATAAAGGAAATAGGTGGATACTGTTATTCCTACTAATGCAAGCCGTCACGAATAGATAGATCCCCAATGGATGTCAATATGAAACAGAACAGGCATTACAGCTCGGTGTGTAAAATCAACTCTCTTATATTAAGTATATTTCCAATCGTTAAACGATAGGTTCAAAATGTCACACCTGTCGATTGCTCTCTATAGGTACTACACGTGAGTTTAATGAAAACTCATCATTAAGGGTTATATATTTACAACGAAGACGAACCCCTTGGTGTCCTGTGGACATGCACCTAATTTACCCTGATTAGCCCTCCTAATCGACTTGCGACGAACATACCCGGTTATCAAGTCAGATCCTTTTCCATGCTTTCCATGTCCGATCCTATGCAGCCGTTGAATAAGAAACGTACCGGCTCCCTGATACCTAACGCTCCATTAATGAAATAGAGATACCTCGTACACACTATCACCATGGCTTCACTGCGTTCAGACTTGTGTTATTCTACACAGCTATCCGATTGCGATTGCGGATCTGTCATCCTCCTGCCTAAGAAATACATATGCTTTCTTTAAGCACGCTTCCCGCCCTTTTGTCTCGGCAAACCAGCTGCTCTCCTCGACTTTACGTCACCTTCAGCTAGCCACCTGCTCGCTTTGACGAGCTGAAGGATATTTAGGAATTGCTTCAATGCCATGATGGGGGCGCTAATTCCAGCAAGGATCCAAGGGAAAGTCGAATCCATCTTGTTTGCGCGGGCCATCTCTAGGGCACCAGCGCTATAAGGGTTAGTGAACAGCTGTCGAAGGACTGAACTGTTGACTTGTGCCCCAGTCTGGATAGCAGCGGCTTTCGACTCGCCGAGGGGTTCGAGGAGCTGTGGCGACAAAAGCGGCGAGGAGAAAGATAGTAGATACAAAGCAATAAAGAATATTTCGTTAAGGGCGCAGCAAATGAAGAGAACGACCTAAGATCCGGTAAGCTAAAACTCAAGGCGGCGGCTCAGGCACGAGAAGAAACCGACCTTGTTGGTATAGTAAAGATTTAGTAGCCAACTTCGCGATTTGTCTACGTTCTTATGGCTGGTCCCCGAACCACCCATAGCCAACGTGGCGTACATGTGCATATAGTGACTTGCGAAGTCTATCGTAATCAACCCTTGGAATACGATCGCCCATCGCGGGAAGGCGGAGGATAGGAAGACGAGCAAGCACGAGGTAGTGCATCGATCTGTTACCATGTCCAGAACAGCGCCGAACTTTGTGGATTGCTCAAAATAACGGGCCGCATAGCCATCGAGGGCGTCGAGGAGGCACGAGATACTATAAAGTATAGAACATGTCCGCGGGTGGAGGGGCATGTAGTAGAGGGATGCGATAGCTAGGACGATACGAGAGTAGCCTAAAGTTTTCAAGCTCCTGGGTCAGTTCGAGCTACAACAAGAGTAACTATCATGTAACTATCATGTAAAACACCACGAAGCTGTGTGACAAAACCACAAGTATTGCATGAACGTAGTAAGCGCATACCTATAATATTGGGCCAAAATAGAAATATATTTTCATTGGGATAGTTCTCGACCTTAGGATCTAATGATGCAACGGCGTTGCCATTACTGCCGACTTTGTTGATATTATTAGCATTGTCGTTGCCGTTAATAGTAGTTTCGTGCTGACTGATGTTGGTAATAGTGTCGTTAACCTCGTTAGCTGTGGGTGTTGCTGCTGCTGCTGCTGCTGTTGCTGCCGCTAAAGCGGCCTGCCGCCTGGTTCGCCGTTCAGACATAGTGGCTTCCCTCCAAGTGCGATAAAAATATACAGAGAAGGAAGGAAATGACGCGGTATTTATTCAGGAGCTGAAAGGTTGGTCGGCTTTGGCGCTCAGCTGAGTCGCACTGACGTGCTAAGGTAACGCTCGGGTGGTGTGATATGAATACGATGATAACTTTCCTACGAAAGACGGTAGAAGAGGCCAAAATTCGGTTGTCAGGTGAAAGAAGGGATGCGACCGCGAAATAGAAGATAGGTGTCACTGTCACAATAATAAAGTCGAGTTGAGTTAATCAAGCAAATAATACCTATCAAAGGAAGAGAGGGAGGAGATGATGTGATAAGAAGACATCGAGTTGACCCTTTCGGCTGAGTCGGGAAGGACATCGAAACCTTGCCAGTTGTCAAGGCTTGTTAAGGCTTGTCAGGTCTGCCCAGAGTTCAACACTCGTGAAAATGTAAAAGCTTGTCGAGGCTGTCAGACCCGCAATTCTTTAATAAAAACATGATTAAGAGGTACATACCTCAGGTAGGTAAGTAACTACATGTAGATCAAATGTTAAAAAGAGATAAGGCTGCAGGCGCCCTCTTCATAGGTAGGTAGGCAGTACATTAGGTACATTGCTAGTGTGTAACTACATGTATTTCAAGCATTACAACTTTCTAAAGGCTAAAGGCTAAAGTTAAGTCTTACGTTAGATGAGTAGGTACATCAATGCTTGTACAATACCTACCTACCTAACCTAGGTATGTACGATTACAGATAACGTTAGCAGCCTTCGTTATCGCGAATCTCTAGCCGGGACGGCACGAGCAAACACCCTTGCTTACTATCTTCCTCTACATATGCATCTTCCTCCTTCACATGAATTGGTCCTCACATGATATGTGGTCTCTATGAAGTACCACGTTAAACATATCTATACACTTGTGCTAAGAACGAGTTGTTTTATCCGAGAGATTCATTTTGGTACCTAGCAGTAGTAATTGTTGTTGCTAAAGTAGATTAGTTCGACCCGAATGTGTTAACCTAGTTATCTGCTAGATATAGTGCATGCAGATGTGACGTCGTTATGTCTTTGACAATGTCTTTGACAATGTCATGTCATCCGAGCACAGCATTTGACTTTGATATAAGTCCACCCGAGCTCTTAGTCGAAAACTTGGTCGAGAATCTGTTTTTTTAGGTAGTTATAACTAGGCAATACCTAGGTTATACTTATAGGTGATAGAGATATCAGACCTTCCCCCCCTTAAAGATCAGACCAGAAAGATCATAGTACTCAGCAATGCGCTATCCCCGGTGAGACCTTTAGCGCAGCCTTAACTACCCCCCGCACGGATTCGTGTACATACTTTGTAGTGTTCAGGTGGATGGTTCCAATATTTCAACAAGTATGGCTACTACCTGGGTATATACGAGTCTATCGTGCTTCCTTGCTTTAGCTAGCATGACAATAGCAAAGGATTCATCAAGTCCGTCTCCCGAGGAAGAAGGATGCAGATAGAAAACATCTATATCCGAATTGATTGGTTGTTCACTACCGTTTCGCCCTATAGTAAAGGTGGCTATATGGTTTTTGGTTGTATCAGACTAGACTCAGTAAGGCCTTAGACTATGTAGAAACCACACCCCCATCGACTTAAGCAGGTAGGTAGGATTTACATCTATCTTAAGGGCTTCCCGTGTTGCCTATCTTAGGTTACAGTGAGTGTAGATGCTTAGCTGCTCAGCTTTGTATTTCCCACTTACATCCTATTACGTCCTATTATTAGCCCGGGGTGTCATATATACATAATCAACTATACATGTGAGTATCACTTGATGCATGCGTATGTGTATGTAAACCTTGCCTATTACTTTTTTAGGTTCCTCCTTTTCTTATGTAGGTAGCCAGCGCATCAAGTCCAGGTCTTGTCGCATACTTGACATGGTTTGGTACGTGGGGTCTCTTTGACAATCACCACCGAGAACTACTGAAACAGACTGCAGATTATTCCGTACATAGTATTTATTCCACTGTCTCAAAATACATAGTGGCTCCTAGTCTACATAGTGGTTCCTAGTCTGCATTGCAACCGCTTCGACGCCACAGGTATGTATGGAAGTCTCGTCCTCGGCCTCGGACAATCTTACAAGACCTATTAGGTACATATCGAGTAGGTATACGTAGGTACATGTATGTACGTAGTTACTTCCAATATGCTAGTGTGCATGTACTTCTTCTCACACATCCTAATTGGACCTAAATAATTCTTGTAATGCCATATAGGTACCTACCTATGTTTCCCCATTCGAATACCCATTCGCATCCCCATTCGCATACAACATAGACGTACAAAACCTGCCCCCCCCACTACTTCACCCACTACTTCATGTAAAAATAAATCGATGTTCCTCCATGCAAGTTTCTAATTGATAACCAACAACGCCAGTTTAAGAGTCGAAACTTGAATTTCGATTCCCAGTCAAATATATTTCAGGAGGCCAATTGGCCTACTAATTTGGTAGACATCCGATATAGATGTTAACAAGTTGGCGTTGAGAACGACACCACATAACATCCACTATCTCCTCTTTAAACCTTCCTTCTTATTTTCACTTCTTCCTAGGGCCTCCTTTTACTTCTTCGATCGTCGCTTGTCTCGTCTAATTCATCTCGGAACGGGTCGTGTTTGTTCGTAGTGTCCGAATTTGGAATTGGTCTTTGGTAAAAACTTCCTAGGCCTGCACGGTGTCTCCGATCTTGGTCTGATTCCAGACCCAAGCCCGCATACCTTTTTGCCGTTTTCTCTAGCAAACAAGCGCACTAAAGGGAACCAATAGGCCCAAAGACCCCAGGTCCCTTAAAAATTCTGAGAGGAGAATAGCATATGCACGGGATTGTCGGTCAGCCACCAGAACACGAAGGCGGTCTACCGAGTAGAAGACGGCCTCTGCGTCTCTGCGTCTCCAGCTCTCAGGTATGATCGCTTTCTCCTCAATGGGAGAAATTTCTCCGTGCCCGTCTTTACATACCTTGTTTTTATATGTACACATCACAGCAGGATCCATTTACTCCCTATATTAAGACCTCTGCTCGCAGCATTTGTACGGCTTGGTCTATTTCGCGGCCATCTCGTCTATTTCTTTTTTAGATCTATCCCATCTCCCGTAGTAAATTGACATCATTTAGCTCCACTAAGTCCCAGGGTTCTCGCCCAACCGCCGATCGCCCGCCGATAGACGAAAGACCCTTTCGGCAGAGCCTGACCGGTTCAACGTGTTCCCCGGAACTCTGTTAGCCCACAATTATTTGCGATCGCCTCTTTCCACCATTTCGAGTTCCGTCTCTTGTAAAGAAGGGAGAAAGAGAATTGATTAGTTAACACGATATCAATAATTAATTTGCTATGTGTACAGCTTCGGACCGCCATCCCACGTTTAGGGCGAGCTTCGCCGAAAGAGCCAGCAATGCCTCCCACCCATTGCTCAACTACTTGTTCCGGCTCATGGAATTGAAGAAGTCAAATCTGTGTCTTAGTGCCGATGTTACCTCCGCTCGCGAACTTCTCACCCTAGCTGATCGAATTGGTCCGTCCATTGTCGTGCTCAAGACGCATTACGATCTCGTCGCCGGATGGGATTATCATCCGCAAACTGGCACCGGTCCCAAGCTAGGTGCTATTGCGAGGAAGCATGGCTTCCTCATCTTCGAAGATAGAAAGTTTGGGGACATTGGCAGCACGGTTCAGCTACAATACACCGCTGGAACCGCGCGGATTATCGATTGGGCACATATCATAAACGTCAACATGATCCCTGGCAAGGCCGCTGTTACTGCGCTTCAACAAGCAGCCGCCCGATGGCGTTCCCGTGTCAATTATGAAGTGAGGACATCCGTCTCTGTTGGAACCCCGGTCTCGGACGAGTTTGACGAAAATGGTAGCGAGGATGGACAACCTACAACTGCGCTGTCGCCATCAAAGGATCCCCCACCGCCGTCAAACTTCCGCACCGAGCATAACGGTAGAAAAGGGAGCATAGTGTCCATTACTACACTCACGCAATCATTCGAACCGGTAGACTCGCCGCGCTTTGGTAAATCTATTGCGGAAGGCGATGAGCTTGTATACGCAGGGATTGAAGAACCCCCTTGGGAGCGAGGACTCCTAATATTGGCACAGATGTCTAGCGAGGGAAATCTCATGACTAAGGAGTACACCCAGGCCTGTGTTGAAGCCGCGAGAGAGCATAAGGACTTCGTGATGGGTTTCATCTCCCAGGAAACCCTCAACAGCGAAAACACAGATTCCTTCATCTCTATGACCCCAGGCTGCCAACTACCACCCGACGAAGACGAAGAAGACGGCAGCGTTGCGGGCGATGGTCTTGGCCAACAATACAGCACACCCACAAAGCTTGTAGGACAGTGTGGTAGCGATATTGTCATCGTGGGACGAGGTATTCTCAAGGCGGCATCCCCACAGGTGGAAGCCGAACGGTATCGAAGAAAGGCATGGAAAGCATATCTCGGCCGGATAGAACAGCGGGCGTGAAAGTAAACAGATGCTTCGCATCAGGCGGATCTATATTAAGCATGGATGATGCATTCGTCCCGGAGCCTGGAGTTCTTTCGGCTTTATACAATATAGTCATCATTGTCATTCGAGGATCTTGGTCAAGTAAAAAAAATTTGGAAAAGGTTATAAAAGAAAGTTAAATTATACCAAATGATATTTAATTGTTTTTTATGTTAATTAATATATCACGGTTAAAGTTTTTATAAATAATTATATAAATTATTTACGTTAAATATATATTTATTTATATTTATTTTATCAAAATATTAATTACGTAATTAAATTATTATTATTTTTTATATTTTTATTAAAGTTAATTATGTTTTTTATTATTAATTTCTTTTAAAATTAATCACATGGCATTTACAACAATTAATTACTCCACTTAAAATAACCTCGTTCGTCAGTTATTTATCTAAAATAACATGTATTTACATATCTATTATTATTACCATTACTATGAAACTCGCACTCAAACCAGTATTGTCGTCTTCTATATGTACAGCCTCCCGCAGATTCAAGCTCCACAGGTAAAGGTGTACACAGGCCTATT